AATACTTTTATGACTTTTATTATTTTTATGCTAGTGAGAACCAAAACAATATGGAAATGAATGAGGGAAAACTGGATCCTATCACGTGATTTCCCGGCCAATAAAAATTTAGCGTTAAACGTTTAACGCTACCTTGTTGGAAGTCGCATAAGAAGTATAACTTCAATAAAAAGTTATTTTTTCATTAATGCCTTATATGTAATTAAAATTAAATAAATTTGTGTCTTAGATTTAATTTGTGTTATAAAATTTTCAGTATAATAAATTCACCACATGTTTTAAAATGATTTAAGACAGGGAAAAAATTATATATATATCATTTACCCATTAAAGCTTTCTGATTATGTCATTTTAGTTATAAATATTTCCCAAGTATTTTATTTCCTCAAATCTAGCTAAATACTTCGCAAGAAGGCAATTGAAAAATTTCGTTAGAATTATGTAAAAATTATTTGTTTGCTCAGATCAGAATTCTCGAGGAAATGCACATGCTTGGGAGATTCTCAAATATTTAAGTGTTACACGAACTGTGTAATTTGATCTTTTCTTGTTCTTGATACTGCCCTATGCTGCAGTTTTATTTTCGTGAAATCACAGAATGTATTTCATCATATGTTTTTAAAATTTGATATATAGTTTGTCTAACGTAAGAACTCCCCTATCCATTCGTCTGGAACCATGGCGGTGACTATAGAAACGAGGTATAACTATTTCAATTGGGGGTGTGGGGTCAGCGAAAAAAAGTGAATATTTTTCTTCGATCAACTGCGTTTGCCCTAGATTGAAGAGAAGCTACCCTCCTGAAATGCGCTTTTATTTCCACAGCAGCAAACGGCCTCAGACTTTGTGGCGGGGGGAGTTCTTACCGTAGACAAACTATAGCTTAGCTCTCTTTGCACTTCTTAAACAAGTTTATATTTGTTCCAGTCTAGTGCCTCTTAAAAACCTTCTGAAGCTATCGTTTGGGATCAAAGAAGAGGTGGACTTTGGAAGCCTGGAGAAATATAGCTTATAACTAGAGCATGCCCGAGGATAGCCTACTGCCACAAGCGTAATTGCCGAAAAACATAATGATTTCCATGTAAACAATTAAACGTTTCTGTGTATTCTACTATTATCCAAAAAAAACTTTTTAGCACTACCTGAAAACAATATTAAGGAACAGTTAAAAGAAGGGAAAAAAAATCACCATTGAGGAAAATGTGTGGCTTATCGCAGTATTGCTCTATGCGCATCATGCTAATTTTCGTCGTAAAAAAATAAATAGATTAAGTACGATGTTTTTTAATCTAACATCTGTGAAAGGCAAATTTGTGCAAATATTAAAAAAAAAAAAAANAACAAAAAAAAAAAAAAAAAAAAAAGTCCCGATGATGATTGGTCGATACGAATTCGATATGGTTTGCACTAACAACTGTGCTGGCGTAAAAATATTATCAGTCGTAGACGGATCATGGGTTAGAATTCCCTCACCGTCGGGCTATCCGTGGGAGGTTTTCGTAGTTTACCTCACCAAGAGACGCAGGATGCAAATGCGGGTTACTTCCATCAAAAATTCTCCACGAAGCAATTTTGCCCTAATGCTTTACCCAGAAATTCATTTGTCTTCTGGGTTGGGTTTAAAATTTCAAGGTTATGAAATTGAACATTGATAACTATAAACCCCGAAATAGGTTGATTGAAAACAAAACAAAAAAAAATAGTACGTGGAGTACCTCCTCGCGGTAGAAGTTAAACTTCGCAACCTGCGACGTAAATAGTAGAAGAATCAGCAGTCGTAGAAGGATTGCTAGTTCTATTCAACGACTCTTTTTCCTGCTCCGCTCGCTTCCGTGCTCTGTAATAACGGTAATATTGTGCATTTTTCCCTCGTGGACCTCTTGAACCAGTGGAAGTGCTTGTGGTTGCCTCATCGTCTCGCCCGGGAAAATTTATTTGTATTAATAATGTATGTGAATGCGTCATAATGTAATTTCAGAAGAGAAAACCTAACAATCAATTGATATTCACAAGAGACGTACCTTGACATAACCTTAAATCCGTCGCATTGTCCGTGGGATTGTTTTCACTCATTTTTTACAATTGTTATCCACTAAATTTGAAAATAAAAAATACTACCCTATTAAATTATATGTGTATCAAAACAAACTAAAAAAATATTTATAGAAAAACAATACTTTGATTATTTTTATGCTAGTGAGAACCAAAACAATATGGAAATGAATGAGGGAAAACTGGATTTGGAAAACTGGACCACTTGATTTCCTGGCCAATAAAAATGTAGCGTTAAACATTTAACGCAACCTTGTTGAAAATCGCATAGGAAGTATAACTTCACTAAGAAAATTAAATAGATTTAGGTTCTTAAAACATATTATGTCTTTAGCCTATTTTAAATCAGACTCTGATAATTGGAACCTTTAAAAAAAAAAAGGGTTTAAAAAGATAGTAGTATATATATATTTTGAAGATTAAACAAAAATACATTTATCCATTAACTAGTCTATTAATAACTTATCAGTTGGCATTGATGAAGTTAATTTTAAAACGAGTTTAATAGCATCAATTTATATTATAAAGAAAATAAAACGATAATAAATGAAGAAAAGAATCTGGCAAACAAACATCGCATTTTACTTCGAGTAATCTATCTTTGATGACGAGATTGCGTTCGATTTTCTGAAAATGGGCTCTTTACACGTTCTAATTTAGAATAGAAAAAAAATAGGGTGGGTGAGGAGGGAAAGAGCTCCCGTCAAATAGGAGCCACTCTTCAGGGTGAACCGAGAGTTTATTTACTATTTATACTTTTCTTAGAACAAAAGCTTCGAAATCGATCAGTGCTGAAAACACATTTAAGGAAAGCAGTTCGTTCGAACACATTTATTCCATTTCAAGAGAAAATCGAGGCTTCGTTCGAGGTCGCCTTTGGGAGAAATGGGGTTTCGAATTGGAAAATGTAGGTTTCCATGTTGCCATTATTAGAATATTCTGTGCGTTTCAATGGTAACGATCATAGAAAAGTGACAAGCGAGCAGGTTAGAAAAATCGTAAATAAATATTCGATACGTGTCGAACATTTTGGTAAATTCCGCCATTTTGATAATTATTAGTTCTTTTTAACGCTGGAAGAATTATGAATATGTTAATTTAGTTTTCGAATCGTGTAGAACAGGACTTTCCAACTTACATGAGGCCGGGGGCTACAATTAAAAACACAAATCAAATGGCGGGCAGCAACTTTATAAAAATGTTATGTAGGACTCTTTTATGTTTGAAGGAACATTAAATATTACTGTCAGATTTTTACCAAGTGGTACAAAACAAAAGTATTGAATTACAAATTAAAATAAGAAGTAGATTTTTAAAAATATTTAATTGTATATTAAAAAATTCGGGCTACAATAACTTTAATGTGCACCCATGTATTAAACAATTAATGAACAACGGATATCTAATTGTTAAGATATAAAACTTTTAAAAGGTTGGTATTAAAACTTACATAGTAGCTCACAAAATGTTCTCAGATATTTACATTTAAAATTTACAAATGTGTGTGTAAATATTTTCGTCCAAAATGAGTTGTTTCAAAAAGTTAAATCGGGGAATTTTTTGGAGAAAATTTCTGATACACACATGCTAAATTATATTAACAAAATGCTAAAAAATGAAATAAACAAGAGCAACATACACGATTATTTTTGTATTTGAATAAATATTTTCTTGGATGCAAAAACTGAGAAAAAAATTTTTTTGCACCGCTGGTATGTTAAATTTCACAGAAACGAAGAAATTAGGTTTTTATTAAAGAGAAAAGTATTTAAAACCCATATAGATTTTTTGCGAAAATTATCCTCAAAAAAATGACATCTAATATATTTTAGTTCGCGGGCCACTAAAAAAGACTTCGCGGGGTCGGATGAGACCCCCGGGCCACCAGTTGGTGTAGAATCTTTAGAAAATATCGCCATTTTGCTATCTCCGTTTTAGAAANTTTATTACGAGCACTCGGATTTAACGAGTACATGTTACGGTCCCTTTGTGCTTGTT